TGTAGCCCATGGGAAGGACTCACGTTGGAGAAGTTCGTGGAGGACTGTCTCCCGTGAGAGGGACCCCACACTGGAGCAGGGGAAGAGTCCTCTCCCTAGGATGAAGAAGCGGCAGAGACAACGTGTGATGAACTGACCCCAACCCCCATTCCCGTCCCCCTGCGCCACTGGGGGGAGTAGGTAGAGAAACTGGGAGTGAAGTTGAGCCCAGAAAAGAAGGGAGGGATGAGGAGAAGATTTTTAAGATCTAGCAGTTTTTCTCCTCTCCTTCTCTGATTTTGATTGATAATAAATCAATTTTTTTCAAGTCGAGTCTGTTTTGCCCATGATGGTAACTGATAAAATGGTCTCCCCCTGTCCTTATCTCGACCCACGAGCCTTTTGATTTACTTTTCTCTCCTCTGCCCAGTTAGAGGGGAGTGATAGAGTGGCTTTGGTGGGTCCCTGACATCTAGCCAGGGTCAAACCTCCACAACAAGTAACGAGATTTTGTGCATTCCAAAGCCTTGCTGTAGAAGGGTAGCTAGTCTGTTTATGAGAGTTCCTGAATGATTTTTCCTGGTAATACAGTACAAGATAGTTCTGTATGGTGAGGTAGCTACATATCATATCTGTAAGTTAAACAAAAGGTTTTCTGGTGTTCTCTCTAGTCTCAATTAAACAGAGAGGAGTGGCTTGTATTTAACAGAAGCATTAGAATTATCAGTATCGCTTCTTAACATTAAGAAGGAGAGAAGTCTGTTGCTATCCAAGACAGTTCTAATCCCCATGAGTTCAGTTCCTGGAAACAGGTGGAAGAACAAGGTTGGAGGAAGAGATTTTCAAGTAGTACATACATGTATTTTTTTACATGCATTTTCAGTAATTGATCTGAGACTGGCTAAATAGCAACTTCTAAGCATACAAAATATAAACCACATAAGCTTTTGTTTCTTTGCAGCCAGGGTCCAGTCTTCTTTGATAGTGGAACATTTCTATGCATTGGGCTTAAATCTGCTGTTTCACCCACCTCCTTTGCATGGACAGACGAGACAAGACAGGAATGGAAGGCCTTGTGAGGCTGCAAGAGCAGTGAAAAACCTCCCTGAGATTTCCTGAGGACTAGATCCAGGAAAATCTTACAACTGCCAATGGAGCTGTATGTGATGGAGAAGTCTCCTATGGCTCTGTGGGCTATAATTTGTCCCTCAGAAACAGTCTGGCTCCCCTCAGTACTGCAGATGTAGCACAGTTCAAGTGATCATGGAGAAGCTGCATTTGTTCTTTTCTCTAAGTGGGCGTTTAGGAAACTCCTGCTAGCTCTACATCTCCAGACTACACTGAATAAGTACAGTGCTAACTGAAGAATACTGCTGTCTCCTGCAGGGTTAAAAATACAGATGTGACAAAAATATGGAAGCTGGAGAGTATCATATGCAATAATCCTCTTATTTACAGGTACTAACAGCTCCTAGAAGATGGGTGCAAGGTATGTATTTTGGCAAAGTTCCTCTTGCACCATCGCCAGCAGCATCCCTAAAAGTTTCATCAATTTAAGGGTAGAGACATCCTGAACACAGCAAACTATATCTGTTACTGTAAACCAACCTCTCTATTATTTTAATCTTCCTGATAATTTTTCTTTTTCCAAGATTACAGACCAACTTAGAAGACCTCATTGATTAAATTTAATTTATATAATCCAACTGGAATACAGAATACAGAATGATTGTGCTGTGTTCAGTTTACACAGCCTCTTTCAGTATTAAATACCTAAATCCAAACAAGCGATTGGGATTATCTGACTGACTACACTCTCCAGTGAGGTTCTTGACTGACAGCAGTACAGATGCTGAGGCTATAGGAAAACACACACACACAAAAGCTTTCTTACAGTAACTCTAAAGAAAGCCAAAATGAACACACAGAAGAATGCTTTGACAACATGGGACACGAGAACATAGTGCCATGGTTTAATGCCATTAGAGAACAAACACACCTAGGGACGAAGCCGGTGCCAAAACCACCTCCTTTACTTCTAACTCTATCAACTTGTTAAGTGTTGGCTGAGTCATTCCCTCAGCCCCCCAAAAAATAAAGGAAAAAACCCTCAGCCCAAAATCATCAGAATGAGTAAAAGCACCATTGTTCTGAAGTCGTAACTGTCCCCCTGTAAACGGAGAAACTGGACAGAAAAGCAATCACTAACAGGAGATGTGGTAAATAGCTTTAGCAGGCAGTGCTTGCATTCTTTACAATTGGCATAAGATCCCACTGATCATCATTTTAAATCCTATTCATAACTCTTGTGTCTTGTCTCTGGTATTAAATCAATCTTTGAGAAAGAAATGCTGCAACAATGTCATCTGTAGCAGGCTGTTGAAGTTGAGCAAGAGGAGAAATAACCTGCTCAGTATAGTCAGGAAGCTTCTAGGTCAGTGTAGTCAGGAAGCTTGAGGACAAATCACAGTAGAACTGGATGGTCAGACATGGGACAGACTGGAGCTTCAACGTACAGCTTACATTTTTCAGTTCAGTGTCTGAGCAGGCATGTAACGTTCTGAGTGTCTATTCTGGAATAAGCTGACTTTTTGAGTTTCAAGCTTTATTTCTGAAGTGAGAAGTATCAGCCCAGCATTATACTTGAACGTAAAAATGTTTAGTCCCTATTGACTAAAAAATGACAACAAAGTTTAGCTAATAAAGGGATAGATTTTAAATAGTTTCATTTCTCTTGGAAGCATGGCAAGGGGGCAACTTAGGCTTAAAATGTGCAGTAAGACTGTGCATAAGCAGAGTGTTCCATAGGCAACCAAGCTGTTCAACAGAAAAGAAGCAGACACTTCCAACAGGAAGGGGTGTCAAACAGTGTCCAGGTTATATCTCAGTGCCAGAAGCAGCAAGAAGTTGCTGGGCCCTTTGTACACTTGGATTAAATGCATGAGGGCACGTACACCACGGTCACAGCTACAGCAGGTCATTTTGTCAAATAAGTCATCTTGCTCACAAGGCTGTGGAATCCATATGGACAATCACTCAAAGAAGAATTTAAAGATTTACATATTCAAATGTATTAGAGAAAAAGATTTTGGTCTTACTTTAAAATTAACTTTCTGCAAAAGGAGACCAGACTAGAACCTGGGCTGTTGATCTTAATTACACTGTTGCAGGTAGCTCTTGCTGGTGGTTAGACTTTTGGCTCCCACCCAGTAGAGCATCTCTACCAGCTCCGTCCAAGTTTTCTTAGCCTGAAACATTAATCAAAAACAGAACTCTAACACATACCACTATTTAAAACAACTATACACACACATATTAATACCTGGGTGGAACTTTCAAAATGCCTGCCTTTGCAGAAAGTCAATTCATGGCAAGACCAGAATTTTTATTTTTGCAGTGAGTTTATAGGGGCCATGCCTAGTAGCAGCAACTGCAGACTAGCTAACTGCAAAAAACTAGCAAGCGTACTTTGCATCAAGGCACTGCGACACTGACGTTAAAGGCTAAATCTGTTAACTTATATTGGGTGGGTGAAGGGAGGGAATGGGGGACAGCCAGAAGGAGCAGGAAGGTGTACAACCAAATAGCTTCACAGAATGAGCGCCATAAAAGCACACTCTTATCCATGCTTGAAGACTTGAGTGAACTCACAGGTATTAAATCACTCAGTTCCTCAAAATAAAGCAAGCAATTCTGTCACTGTGCAATATCAGAAAGTAACAGCTACCTCCCTCAACTACCCAGCTGAACCAAAAGAACTGTATCTTGACAGAACCAACCCCCACCCCAAATCTTTGTCAGTTTTCACAACCTACTGTCTTGGAGATAGATCCCATTTTAAAATTTAGCCACAGAGAGTTACGGCTAGGAATAAAGGAAATCCATAAGTCAAAAGCAATTAACAGTACGGAAAATCTTCCCCTTGTTCCAATAGCTCCCTTTTTGCCACTGTTAAACTTCTCACATCCTTTCTTCTCTGTCTATACATAAATCTGTCCTAAACAATATTACTCTCTCTCAGGCAAATCTTTTGACACATCTTAGAGATCTCTGATGAGCAGCAGTGATAGTCACCTCTGCTGATGACCACAGCCCTAAAAATAAATAGAAGAGGAAATTAATCTCTATCAGTAGTGTCACTGCCACTTCTGCTCTGTTCTCTCACCCCGCCATTCCCCTTGTACTGCCCTGCTGAGGCAGAAATAACATGAGTGTGATGGCTCTATGCTGCTGCAAGAACTCATTTGTGCTGAAGAACTGAAACTGGCTAGACTGGCTTTTGGACAAATAGACAAAAGGGGAGTGGTGCAAGGTGTCCTAGGAACCTATCTACAACCAAAGAGCCCATAATCAGTGTCTTAACATGCTTTGGTCACAGGAAGGAAAATGTAATAAAAAGTTCTCTTTCACTCCAAGGTTCTGGCAAAAATAATTACTAGTTTTGTTCCAGTTATGAAGAATATCATATGTGTAAACAGAGAGATTGACCTTTGCAGTGTGGTACAGAGCAAGAGATTTCCCCTCCCCCAGAACACTTTGGGTAAAGCAATTGTCAGTTTACTGCCCTTTAAGCTTCTCTGTAACAAGAACAAAACCAGTACAAACGCATATACCTTATAAAGAGGCCTAAGTCGTAAATCTAGCTGACCAGAATGCTTTGTCACTTTTAAGAAGGGTGTCTGATTTCAAATTCTAATGCAGTTTCCTCTCCTTTGTTTTCTATCCATTTTGGAACTTGGATAGAAAGGAAGGTCAGTCCTTACAATGACTCTCCTTCAGAAAAGGTACTAAGAGTAGAAAATAAAGCCATGGAGAGTAAAGTATTTACCACTAGGACCCATTACTATGCCAATTTTCCAACTATAGCATCTTCCCCTCTTCTTTCTTAGTTTTACCGATGTCTGTGTTCTGCTGTCTTTAGCCAGTTCAGTTATGTATGTCTGGAGGGTAAGAGGGAGGGAGAGAGGAATCGGGGATATCCTTTTTAGTGGCTTTGAGGGAATTTGCTATATGCACCAACTAGAAATGTTTGCTACTTCCCCAAGCTTTTATTACCAAGCAGTTACAATTCTTCACATCTAACTACAGAATTACTATCAGTTTAGACTGGGATGAAACATTTTATTTAATTTGAAGGGATTTTCAGTATCCCAGTCAAAGATAGCAAATGGGAATGTGGTAATTTATTAGGCTGTATTTCTTTCTGAGCAGATCTTTCACAACTAATGTTTCGCATTCTGATGTGATTGCTTAAGAGAAATCCACAATTTCTTTTTTTTTTTTCCTCATTTTTATTGCATTTTTAATGTGTACTGAGAAAATGCATGATTCCTACAATAGAATGAAATAATTTGTAAAAGGCAATAAATTGCCCAACCAGGTATAATCTACAGTCATTCCTCTATGCATTACTGAACACACCTTAATGTTCTAACACAGCTTGTTTAGTCTCATTTTCAATAGTTTTAGAATGTATAAAAGCCTTTCCAGGAAAACCTGTAAAAGTTCCAGTTAAAGGATCTGGATTCCTGCTACATGACTCAATGACAAATGCACTAAAAAAAGCAGCGAAAGACAATTGTATCACAAGAGACTAGTGCCACAGCTGCTGAGCAGCACTGCTGTCCATTACAGATGCTGAATTACTAGTTGTTTGGGGGTTTTTTTGGTTTTTTTTGTTTTTTTTTTTTATTGAGGGCTGGAGAGCTACAGAAGATTCAAGCATCAAATCCACCCCTGCCTTACTTCTCACTAACCAGACCATGATCAGAACTCCAGAGCCTTGCCTGGTATCTGTTACCACTAGAAATCAAGCTTTGCCTGTTTAAACTTAACCTCATAACTTTGCTCCTAAGAATCGATGCAAATGTCTCAGTCAATTTTTCCTTAGTCAAAGTTAGCTGCATGGTTATAAACAGTGAATCTAGCCTGGTTTTGAGTAGCTAATTTCTACAAATGTATAGGGAGATTCTTCCAACTACCTTAACAAAACCAGGAAAGCCACCCAAAATAACTTTGCACAAAATACACTTATCATACGATGTTACTGGCCAGTTTATGCTTCCTTATATATGGGCTACGCACAATTCTTTTTTCAAGTCATCATAATACAAATTTGTTACTCAAAACTTTAGTCAGAGCACATGAAGCTACTTAAGTTTAAAAGTAACAGTTTCAACTTCACCTGCTGCTTAAAGTTTTCGGAATAAAGCTGCTGAGAATTTCAAGATTCTGAATTGCTGGCTCATATTCTGTCGGCTGTCATCCAGTACCCCCAGATCCCTCTCTGCCAAGCAGCTTTCCAGCCACTCTTCCCCAGCCCTTGTATGGGGTTGTTGTGACCCAAGTGCAGGACCCAGCACTTGGCCTTGCTGAACCTCATACAATTGGTCACAGCCCATCGATCCAGCCTGTCCAGGGCCCTCTGTGGAGCTTTCCTACCCTCCAGCAAATCAACACTTCCACCCAGCCTAGTGTCATCTGCAAACTTGCTGAAGGTACACTCAATCCTCTTGTCCAGGTTGTTGATAAAGATGTTAAACAGAACTGGCCCTAACACTGAGCTCTGGGGAACACCACTTGTGACCAGCACAAGGAGTGATCTGGTCACTTCAAGAAGCCCAAATCCTGGCAACCACTTCAAGTATTCAAACCAATGTGGAAAAAAAATATTCAGTATTTGCATGGAGAATACCCTAGGAGAATCTCTTTAAACTTCCTAACAAATGATAGCTCTTCAGTACTTAAATATTTAATAGAAACAAAGGTTTCAGCATGTTTTAAAATAACTAAGAATACCATTCTAAGCACATGATGAGCAGAAATGTGTAACTAACATTTTAGAATTAGAATGCTATGTATACTCAGAACATAGCTTAAACATTTGCTTTCACAAAAAATTGTATTAACCTTTCAGCTGGTCGTACAAGAAAAACACAATAATTTTGATCAATAGTCAAACAAGTAATGACAGTATCAATAGCTAGAACCACCCACCACTTTAGATAAAACCCTGTTTTCAGTGGATGGTGATGTGTTTTTATATATTTCCAGATCAGATAGCCGGATACAAGGAACAAACCCTGTAAAACTATCTTACTAGGAGCCTTCAAAATCCGTAATTCAATGGCTTTACTGAAAATAATTGTGGGACTGTGCTGGCAATCCGCTGGTACAAACACATTGAAGAGTAACAGAACAAGCTTGTAAAAAGCAGCAAGATCAAAGAGGTGAAACAAGAGTAGATGCACACACTGGACATCAAGATCCACCTAACCAAGAAGCCAGACCAGAACTTGTCTCAACAGTCCCTGCCATCTAGCAACTAGCTGAAAAACCTAGTGATTAAAAAAAAAAAAAAAAAAAAAAAAAAAAGGCATACTTCTCCCTCTACCAGCTGATCCAGAAGTAACAACATCTGATTGCCCAGAGCTCTGAAAAATACCCAGCTGGTAACAAAATGAAAATAAGTGTAGCTTCACACATACATTTTGCTTTCAACATGGGAAAAACTGATTACAGCAGCTGCAGGAAGCTAACAGTTGCGGTCAAATATCTGGAGACACCAGCATTCACACTGCCCGTGTACTGAGTGGAGGAGTATGTCTCTGGTAATTACAAGCACATGCACACAAAGAAGGGGACCAAGCAAACGCTGCAAAGACAACCCTAATGTCACAGCTTCCAGGTGCCGAAGCAGACTTCTCTGGTGGCCTCACGGTTGCCCTCTGGTGGCCACCGGCTGCCCCGAGCACTCGGGACCCGAGCCCGGGCGGGGGGGGGGCGGGGGGAAGAGACACATGACGCTTTCAGTACTCCACAATAGAACAGAGCTTCACCTCTATTCGAAAGTAAAAGTCACCCTGTAACTCAGGTCAAGGTATTGATATGTAAACGAGTGACAATTCTGATTCACTAGAGGAAAATCCAAGCAGTATAGTTACCAATTGTGAAACTGCAATTATCAGCCAGACTTGGAAATGCAAGACACATGACTCCATTAAAAAGAAGTTTAAGACAATGCTTATGAAGTAAGAAGCAGGTGAAAAAGAACAGTAAGTGGCTTTACAAACTAAATACTGTAGTCTAGCTTTCTTGTACTGTACTTGTACAACCCGAATGCAGCATTTCACTTATCTGATCCTTTGGTGCTAAAGAAATCTAAGACTAGTCACATGAAAGATACATTCCGTCATCTCAAAGAGGCAGTCTATCAATGTATTTAGGTCCCATCTTAGCCAACAAGAACTAAAGACCAGAAGCCATTGAAGAAGTTACTGCTGAATATAAACCCCAGTTATTTTAACACAGCATCAGCTACTCTGTTCTGAATTAAGTCCCTTGTTTCAGAAGATGATTAAATGGAACAATAAGGCTACTAAATCTACTATTTATTTTGCCTAACAGTTTCATAATTAAAACAGTGAAAAGAAATCCATTTCAGTTTAAAGATCCTTTCTTCCTACTTACCTAGCAAATTCAGCCAGTTGTTTGGGGTCTGAGAGGTCAATGCCAGGTATTCCACCAGGAGGAAGTTTCTTCCCTGTCATGTACTCTGAGTAATCTGGAGGAGAATTCTCTCCAATGATCTGCTCTTCCACCACTGTTTCATGGTCGATATCTTTTTTATCATCTGAAATACACAAAACACAGAATTCAATACATACTAGAGATCAAAACAGCATATAAGTTATTAGGCTGCATCTTAATACAAATTCACTATTGCTGCACACTTAAAAGAATACACTGCACTTCCAGACTTCCATGCTAATTGTAAAGAGCAAAAAGACATCCATACCGTTACGGCATGAAGAACACAGAAAGAACACAGTGGGTGAGGAAAAAAAAAAAGCAGAAATGGCCTATCTACTTAAACACAAATAAGGCATAGAACAAGCCTATAACTGTTGGCTGCATTTGAAAGATAGTGCACTCTTTTCTTGAAACAGTGCCTAAATATTTAATTCCCTTAGCCTCTTCAAAACTAACCTCCATCATACCCACTCCAGCTCTCCACAGCAGTCAGTAACCGAGCAAGCCTATCAGAGGAGTGGTAGATACTTACCCTAAGATGTTAGGACTACTGATCTTTACTTCAGAGCCTTCAGACTTCCTTGACCTCCAACAGAAGTGTCACAGAGGGACAAGAGATTTAAAAATAACTGCTAATGGGCTTCAGCACCTGCCCATAAAAATCAAATTTTTTCAACACTTGCAGAGAGGTCTGAAATAAAGCAAAAAACTAAACAGTGCGTCTCCCTTCCAAGGGGGTTTCTTCCTTCCACAGCAGAGGCCAGGCTAAGCAATTCCCCACTCTATTATGTAAACAGCAGACAGGGATCATTCAGAGCTTTGATCTGCAAGCCAGTTAAGATACTACGACCTTATCTGCTCTAGAGCTCCTCCTATGGATTTGTGCCCAAGGACTACAGTGAAATCAGGTGGAAGACCTGCTGTTGCCATCTACTCACATCCAGACCTTAAAATATGCCAAGACACAATGTTTTCTCTCTCTTCTTGTTATTTTATAACAGAAACCAGAGAGACACAAAGACAACAGAGAATGGAAACATCCACCTATGTTCCTCACTGCAGTGCTCACACCAGAGTGAAAATACACAGCACCAATCCTATTTTCCACCCTCAAATACATGTAGGACAACAGATATATACATGGATGAGACTACTCAGCTAAATGTTAATGAACGTGCCCCTATACTACTAGTTCTACTCTGTGTACGGGGAGCAGATTCTGCAAATCACTTTATACAGAAAAGGCTTTACAAAAAAAACCAGTAAGTTTTATATTACAGGTAGTGTTTAAGGATGGAAATACAAGGTGGTAGGACAGAAATAGTATTTTCCCAATTTAAAAAAAAAGAAAGAAAAAAAGAAAAGGAAAAAAAAGGAAAACATAAGGCAGAAAACTAATGAGGCAATGGTTTGGGTTTGGGTTCCCCCCCCCCGCTAAACAGAAACACAGGAAATAACATTATTCATTACTCAGTAACTTAGGAAAGAGACGACAAGACATATGCAAATAAAAGAAACATACTAAGGACAAATTTCTATTCAATTTGTAATGCCTGCTTTTAATGTTTGCCACTGAGCTATTTCTAGAAATGTTACTGCTAGTTTGGGGTTTAATCTGATCCACCAGATCAAATAGCAGTTCACGTATATGTTCCATGGTGAAAGAGGAAAATAGACTCCAACGCTACAAAGACAGGAGTGTTAATAAGAAAATGCTATCTGCAGCATTAAACTGGGAATAAACTGTAAAATTGCCTGTTGGGACAATTTTTTTTTTATTCTAGTCTAGTTTTTCACTCACCATGCTACCTTTCAGCCTTTACCAGTGCTTCAAAGCAAGCAACTGAATTTACCTTAAGCAAGGATTATATGGTAAGCTTTACAGCACCTGCAGGAGTTACAAATTCAAGTCAATAAACCTCCAATTTGGCAACAATTTGTTCTTCCAAACAGAAGCTTGAGAAAAGATATTTAGCAATGCCTACACAAACAAAAAAGACATTATGAAGCTCAGAAGAGTACAGAACTTCTGGAAAGCTAAAAGTGATGCCTTCTCCATGCTGCAGGCTAGAATGAGATCAGCTGCCTTCAATGTAGCTGTTTCAACAGCTACCCAGAACTTCCAGTTTGACTGTTTGATGACATTCGTAACAGAAACAAGCTTTCATTTCCTGCCTCAGATCAGATGCATGAGTCAACAGGGAAATTTTGTATACATTCCTTAAGATCTTCTTTCCTTCCCTAGCATAAAGGCTCGCTATTCCACAATGCTTTCTTGCTATTTGAGGACCAAACTGATTAGAAGTCAACCTTCAGTGCCTTACTTCCCCAAAGCCTGCCAACAGAAATGAATTCCACAGGAGTAAAACATGAAAAACTATGAACATACTGCTTTGACACAGTATAAAATAAGAGAAAGTATCCCTTAATATATTTACAGTTGTGTGAAACTTAAAAAATGTCCCTACACTAAAAAACTGTATTTCTACAGCAACACATACCTGCAGTTTTAAAAATGCATTTGAACTAAACCAAACTAAAACAACAACATACACAACACTTACCTGAAAGCATTACATCAGGCTAACGTCCTTCAAGACAGAAGAGCTGGTTCACACCAGAAGTCAAATACATTTTCAAAAGTAGCAGCAGACTTCAGCAGCTCTTTAGTATCTGGACCATCCTAGTTACAGACCATCCTATGCCATTATCAACTCATTGGGAAAATGATACTAAACCAACATGCACAACAGCTGCCCCCCCCACTTCTTTGGAAGAAGTTTGGAAGAACTACCAATGTCCTCTATGCATAAATTTATCACAAGTTTATTTGTGATCCCCTACCAACCTGGACTATGCAGCTCAAAGTTTGGAGGCTAAAGTCCAAGCAAACTTTCACTCGGTCTGACAAGTTAACCAATATTCTCACTGCAAACAGGGCAAGCTGACTGCTTCATGTTTTCTGCCTTCAATTAAGTCCAGGTGCCCATTACATCCAAATTACCTTTTCCTCTCATCAGAGGAATCAAACATACTGCAACCAAGTGAAAGCAAACCAGAGACACAACCCTGAAATTCTAGAGAGCTCTGGAGAAGTAAGGTACAAATAAGGCACATCAACTCCATGCAGTTTATGCCCGTGCCAAACTAATCTGGATTCCACCCCTGCAAACTAAATACAGCAGAGCCATGGAGCCAGTCAGGAAAAAGAAATTAACTGCTACATGCTATCTGATCTGGTTTGGTTTGTCCCTTAAAACCACTTGAGAGTACAGCAGACTCAAATACAAGGCATTCTGCTTAAGTGTGTATTTAGCACTACTCTTATAGATCTAATGCAGCTTTCTGTAAGGAACTTGGAACATGATTTTAGTCCCGCCTTCTGAAAGATATTGAAGGTCTGAATGTATGTCCATTAGTTAATCACTTTATCTTCACAAAAACATGCACTGCAATAGCTATGCCCAGTATTAATCTACCCTATAAAGCTGTAAAATACTGATTTGTAGAGACACCACAGATACTCCCCAACATCCTTCTACACCCAACTACATTGGGGTGTTGTATGTACCTGTTTAGGACATACCCAAACAAATCTTCCTGTTTAGTGTTCTTCCATCTGCACTTCTCCCATGCCCTATATACGGGCAATACACATCTTGAACTGGATTCACTTCTTGCACTTCAAAGCAAGTCTGTCAAACTTCTTTTACTAAGATCAGTGAAAGTTCAGTATTTTAGCCTGCCATACCTTTTGACTACCTCTTAAAACATATTTCTACTGGGGAAATAACCAGAAGTTTTAAGAGTACGAAGCTCAAGTACCAACTGAAGTAGAAAGATGCCAGATTACTGGGATAAAACTAGTAACTGCAGGTTCCATGTAACAGATCAGTATCAAAACATGGTAGAATCTGTTTGCCAAGACTCTACTGATTACCTTTTGCTCTTATTACCATGCTTTCTGCATCTCTTGCAGCCCTTCTGTTGCACAGAAAGTCCATCCACTTCAGAACCCCATTATTTCATGCATTTCTAGAACAGTAGCTAGCTCAGCTGACACCTCTGGAACTCCCCAGCTTTATAAGATGACCCACCTAACTCTCAACCCAAGAAGCCCTGTCAGTATTTCTGCCTCAGTTATTCTTGATTTTAGCCATCATACTCCACTTCTAGATTCCCAGTTCTCTGAGCCATCCCCTTCTCCATTACACAGCAGGGAGAACACATTGTTATTCAATCAGTTTTCCCCTGTGGAAAATAAGGAGTGCAAAAGGGAACTCGGAAGGTACACCTGGTAGCAAAGCAATGAGACCTAATCCTACAGCTTCCTCCCCAAGGTACCCAGTTAAAAGACATTCTGCTTACCAACTAAAAGGATGAACAAAATTTAAGCTTAAATTTTCTTTTTATGATCACATGGTTAAACACATTTGTTTTTAGGAACAGCTGAAATGCAATTACATGATAAAGGATGTGTTCTGCAACTGTGTAGTACCAAGGCACTGTGGTAACAGCTTGGTTATTGCTACCACATTGCAATCTCCTCAGGCGAATTAATTCATTGGCCATGTTTGGAAGCAAAGAACCATAATTAGCTTGTTAAATAATACAGTTATTTAGCAGACACTTCTGAATGTTAAATTCCATTTTGCACAGTATGTAATTTTTTTTAACTTAATCGGCTGCTAGGTTACTTTCTCTCCGATGTGCCTTGCACACAGACAGAGAACAGGTTCTTCTCTCCCAGTGTCACCCATCTCTTATTTCACACCACTGAGATGTGAACTGACAAAAACACTGCATATTATCAATAGTCATCATCTGATTTCAACATTTGTGAGACTGTAACGAAGCACTAGGACCTCCTGAATCACCAGCATACCAGTGACATGGACCTCTCAGGGAAGGATCCAACAGCAAGTTAGAGGATTCTAGTTTAAAGGTGGGCTAAGAGGCAACTTGAGACATTTTAAGTTATGAACCACATTCATGTATGTCGCTTTCAAAACTGAAAAGATCTTAAAACAGCTGCAGGGAAGTATCTACCTTATCCTCCAAGGTTCACTGGCGAAAGTGTCAGGGCAGACTCAATGCTTATAGACAACAAAAGCCTATACTGCTGTCTTAATCAGAGTCAGAAATAGTTTACCATCATAGTATTTTACAGGAACCAGACAATGACTTTCTGCCTCCATTCTGAAACATATTCACGTAAGAAGCTCATTACCTATTTGTCATCACAAAGAATTTTGGCCATCCTTGACACAGGCCCACAACTGAACTAAATGACTAGTCTTACCATTTATACTATATAAGACAACTAGTCAGATAGCAGATGATTATGTTTCTCACCCCTGCAATCTGATAAAGTCAAATTAAAATCCTACCTTTTTTAAGACATATGAGGGTTTTTTAAAGAGGCTTTGAAGAACCTTCTAGAAACCCAGCATGAACCCCTTGAGTTTCCAAACATGGGTCCACAGCACAGGCTTCCTGGATTATCAAGAATCATTTCCAAACCATACACATAACTGCTGCATCTTTGTCTTTCCCGTTGAGGAACAGGATACTTGAGCAGTTCAACATCTGTGAGCAATGTTTAGTTTGGTTGTGCTATTTCAGCCCTAAGCTTGCAGGCTATCTACGCAAGCAATAATAGTTTAGACCAACACCTATTTCAGGTTTGAAAGCTTGACAAAGTCAAGAGTCATTACCTAGAAGCAGGTGTAGTTACACTAATAGATTTTTTTCCCCCTCAAAATTAAGCCCCAGCTGCTTGAAATTCCAGCATTTGGTGGAGCCAGCATTTCCACACCACCTTCCCCAATGCTCCTGAACCCAAGCATCAGTTCTGCAAGCACAATCTGACAAAGTGATTTCTAATAATTTCCTTCCTCTCCCCCATCACTACTGTGTACCCAACCTGGAGACAGTCACTAAAGAGGATGATTCAAGTTGAATCTAGCACAGCCACAAATAAATTCCACTTCATAAAAACAGATTTTCCTAGTACAAACTGGGGTGTCTCACTTGGAGAGCACCATTAACTATGTATGATTTTCTAAACCTATGACAGGATATCCCAATGAGAATAACAAGGGTAGATATTAAACAGTATAGAGGAAACACACTACAGGAACACAAGTATCCACCATACACACTTCTTCAACCTTTTCAGAAAATAGAAAGCCTTTGTTCGGTTCCTATTTTCACATGTGAAGAAAGGCAAATAATTCCATTCTGAAGATCTGGAAAGCTAATCTGAGCCAGAACAAAGCATTCCTGTTTCAAACTAAACACTTTTAATTAAAATAATCATGGGTCACAAGTTTGATATCGCCATAGATACCGAGGTGATAAGAGAAGTTATGGTAAGTCTAAACCGTTGCCAACAACAGTACTGCAACTTCTAAGTAACCACGTAACAAGACAAGGATTGAGTAGTCCCTTTAATCACATTGCTATATATTTCACAGATTATTTCTGCACATTTCAAGAGGTGCTACCAGACATGTTATACTCATTTATGGCCAAAGATTTATGACTGACTAAATCTGGTACCAGCCATGTACAAGCTAAGACACTAGAAAACAGTAACAAGTAATTAATTCACATTGTCTTCCCACACTGTGGTGAGCAAAGTGCCCTTGTTCCCGATTCAAATACCCATGAACAGCAATACAGGGCTCATTGTTTCATCTTGATGCATGGGCTTATTTACTATTCGTCTTCTGATAAACTTTTTGCTAAGCATTTAAACCAGTCAATTACATCAGTGTGCAAGCAAGTCTTTAATTATGTCAAAATACAGAGGCAAAACTACTATCTTTGTTGAAAATAAAGTATGCCTGATTCTGCAGGGAAACTTCAGTACAACTACCCTTTCACAAGCCAGTAGTTTGTTCTGGGGTTTTTGGGTTTTGTCCCCAGTTTTGCTTCTTTTGGAATTTTTCTGGCAACTGTTCCCCCTCTCATGGAGCCTCAGCATTTGACCACTTCAGAGCACTTCTGTAACATCCAATAAGCTGTGCAGGAGGCATACAAGCCTATCCAATACGCTCAGTAAAACTTCACAACACTCTTAACTGCGCAGGTTATTACCATGGGCTGTTTGAAGCTGGGCATACAAGGGGGGTAGATCTATGCACATACGCATGCAGGGACAGGAGGTCAAACTAATACTTTTCTTTTGTCTACATATTTTGCGAATTTGCTTTTTGGGGGCTTTTTTGGCATTAGAAGTCAAGTCAGAGTAGGTATTCTGCATCATGGATACAAGAATGTAGCAAGGCAATTCAATCTCCAATAAATTACAAGTGGCTATCATTCCCACTGAGCTTGCATGGTCACGCTCATGAAGAACAAAACCACTGAAATCAATAGGGCTACCCTGATATCAGAGTTGTGTACACGGGAAGAGAATCAAGTGCATTGATTATACACACGCTTCACTTCAGTCAAGCAATAATCAGCATGCAGAAGCTCCAAGAAAGCATCCTGTCAGGCACTCTGAGTTTCAGAGTGCAAATGCATGCTAGAAATTGTCAATTGATCTCAGCGAGGTCCTGCATCCTGCCAGCTCATGAGTCATACATCCACTTGCATTCAGCTATCTTAGGTAGCTTCCACAGAAGTCTATATTAGGTTCTATTTTTTTTTTCTTGGATGGTCAATTTGAAGGAAAAAAAAAAAAAAAAATCCAGCAAGTGAATTTAATTCAGATTTCAGACAATGATACACAGAAGCATACAGAACCCTATTGTACTAAACAGTATTTGGGAAACTCTTAAATCAAAGTTCTTTGTTCATCAAGAAGCAGGGAACTTTGATTGGGCTCATTGGGCTGTCAACCCAGAAGTGTCATTTACTGTGTCAAACTTGCTAAGTGACCACCCGTATTTAAAAAGGGAGTAAAAATCAGCATCACCATTCTTTCCATCTTTTCAGACAAGAGAATTCAGCCATTCAATACACTTTTCCTTCAACACTCCCCTTTTTAACAACTACTGGTCATTCACAAACATCACAGAGAGCAAACATTTTAGACTACATCAGAAGCTTAAAGAGTATCCTTATCTTATTAAGCTCTTTAAAAAAAAAAAAAAACCAAACCAAAAGAGCACAAAAATTATGATATGCAAGACAGATTACCAACTTACTATTCAAAGACCACACACCAATTTAAATGACATGAACCGCTTGACTGCTTGTTTTCACACTTAATGTAACTTTAGCACAGAACTTTGACCACAGAGCCTAGCTTCCAGCAATACGTTTTTTGGAAAAAAAAAAAAAATTAAATTAAACAACCCCCCCCCGGTTTGCCACAAGTAACCCTTTTCTGCTGACTAAAAAGACTCTCCTCCCCCCCATATTTTAAAGGAAAGGATCAGAAAACCGTGGCAGATAAAGTGGGAAGGGCAGGCACATGTCGGGATTATTGCAAGTCCTGCAGACACTAAACAGCTTCACACGATTTTACTCCCTTTAAGAGACACTCCCACAGAAAACCCTACTCCTCAAAAAACATGCCCAATCTCGCACAACACGGACTCCCTGCCCGTTTAAAGCTTTAGACCTAGCCAAGAAGCTGAACGGTCTCCGAGCGTCAACCAGAACCCGCTCCTTCCCTCCCCGCGGCTGCCCGGGACGGAGCTCTGCCTCTCGGCTGTCAGACCCCTGCTCCCGACGCGGGGACTTCTGAAGGGCCGGTTGCTCGTGGCCGCCCCCTCCGAAGCCGGCGAGAGGCGCGGGCAGCCCCCGCGGGGGCGAGGAAGTGCTTCCCCCTCGCCGGCACCGCTGGCTTCGGGCGGGGAGGCCCCACCCACACCCCGCCCGGCTACCGCAGCGGG